CTCCGGCTCCGAGGTCTGCCACAGTCTCCAGGCGTCTGGCCCGGGCCGCTCCCTCCCGCTCTTATACTCCACCGGACCAGCCCGGCTGGTTCCACCGCCAGCTCACCCTCTGGTATTTGGGTGACACATCTCTAACCCCCTCCCCCTCTCCCCGTCCGGGTCCTACAGAAGCTACAGCCCGCCCAGGGCCGCCCGCGATAGGATTGGGGGGGGGGGGGGCGGAGGCTGCCCCCGCCTCCTCGGGACCGAAAGCCCCACAGAGGAAAACCGATACTCACCTGCAGGCTGCCCGGACCCGCCTCCGACCCGATCCGCCTCACCTAGGGCGGGGCCCGCCCTGGGCCAGCTTCTAGCCCAGAACCTCCGCGACTAGGCCGCTCTCCGGGGCTGGCGTTCTCGGGAATTTCATTGAAAAGCAGTGCTGTCCCGCTTTCATTCCACCACCACCACCTTTTCTCTCTCCCTTTCCCAACTGCTATCCCTACTTTAAGTTTTTTCACTACCTCGCTTCATTCCCCAGTCCTCACAATAGCAGCCATTTACAGTTTACAGTTCCCAAACATTATCTCATCCTCACCTCAGTCCCGACAGGTATGGACCATCTGTCAGACCCATTTTATAGGCGATGCAGTTAAGGCTTGGAGCCATCAATTTCCTCAGATTCCTGGGAGGGGTCCTTGTTTCTCTGCCTGGTGTTAGGAGACCTTAGGTGTTTATGGAAACCGAATGGAGCTGATCTGAAGAAAGGTTTTAAAGAGCAGTTCTGTTACTGGATCCTGGAAAAAACCCAGGTGTCCTGATGTCCAATGTATAAGTTCTGTTTTCCCCTCCCCACACACAAACACAATATTTATGCATGTACTCAGTATAGGGAGACAAAAAGGAACAAATTCTTTAAAAGAACCAGCAAGACTACAAGGAGTTCTTTGTACAATTTGATTCTAAAAGAGCAAATCATGGCTTTTCTTTTTCTGTGTCCCATGTAAGTAGCTGAACCGCTGCACATAATGAAAGAATGGGGCCTGTGGGAAATGGCTTGTCTGCCACTGTGTGGCTCCTTTAATGGGATGGAGGCGTTTCTCTCTCTCTCTCTCTCTCTCTCTCTCTCTCTCTCTCTCTTGAATCATTGGGAAAGTTCAGGGTTGCAAAGCTTTGGTATGATTAACAATAATTAACAGGTTATAATTATTTCCAGCTCCTCTGTCGCAGCCAGTTTGTTTATATGCTTAGAATTTAAAGAACACCAGCAGTAGCACAAGGGTGTTGTTTAACACAGGAAAGCCACCCAGGCCTCTGCCCCATTAATTTCCAAGCAATTCCTGAGGGGTAGGCAGAAGTATTCTCCCTTTGCCAGTAGAGAAAACAGGGACGTGGTGAAGGGGGGCAATTTCTTACCAACAAGTATCAGGTGCTGTGGGAATACTTCTCTGCGCTCTATGTCCACTGTCTCTGTTCAGGTTCTTAGCCTGATCAGGTGTTCCAGTTCCTTTTCCCCTTTCCTACCCCCGAGAAGGCTTTCTAAATCTCAAATCTGTCCCCGTCGCCCCTGCGGAGAACCCTTGCAGGCACAGAGTGGAAGGCGCTCTCGGCACCTAAACTTCATACTGCTGGAGTTAGCACACAAAATCATATATGACCTTGGCCAAGCTACTTAGCTTCTCTGTGCCTTAGTTGCCTCATCTTTTAAATGGGGATAACAAAAGTATCTACCTGACAAGGGAGGTGTGAACATCAACGTAGGTGCCCGCTTAGAACAGTATCTGTTCTAGCAGTTTCTGCTGTTAGTAAGCATAGATAAGAGTTAGCTGCCGTCATGGGCACCACCATCACCATCATCACCATCTTCATCTTTCTCCTGCCAGTCTCTCCAGTCTTCCTCATGTTTTCGAGCCTTTGGAAAGTCACCTACCTGAGTGTTCCCTTCACTATCTATTTAGTACATAAATGTGTTATTCTATTCAGCCCTTGGGTCACCTCCAGAAAGCCTGCCCTGGTGTGTCCTCCCTATTGCAGTCAGGGAAGTGCCCCTTCTCTGTGCTCTTCTAATTCCTGCCACGTACCGGAATGGCAACACTAACTTATCTGCACGTCTGTCTTCCCATCTAAAATTGAAATAATAGCATGTGTCTATGTCATAGGTCATTCTGAGAATCAAATCTGAATACATGAGATAGTAGATACCAAAGGTTTATAAACTGTAAAAACGTTAGACTTCATTTTTATTTTTTAAAACATCTGTGCTGCCTCACTGGTGTGGCTCAGTGTTTGATCCTTAACCCAGGAACCAGGAGATCATAGTTTGATTCCAGCCAGGGCATGTGCCTGGGTTGTGGGCTCCATCCCCAGTGATGGGCATGCAGGTGGCAGGCAATCAAT